TTTCTGAAACTGGGCCTTGCACTAGAGTCCAAGCCAGCCTTGAAGTCACTATGTAGCCCTGGTTGGACTGGAATTTATAACCTGCTTACCTTAGCCTCCTGAGTGCTGGTGTGATTACAAGTGTATATACCACCATTCCCAGTTTTTAAAACTCAAGAACTTTAATGTTCTTAAAGGTTTGTTTTGTTTTGTTTTTTCTTGATACCAGGGATGAAACTCAGGACCTTGTGTTTGCAAGGTAGGCAAGGTGCCACTGAGCTAAATCCTCAGCCCCTTAAAGGTTTGTTTTTTTAAAAAATATAGCAGAGGGCCAGGGATTTAGCTCAGTGGTTTCACTGCCTGCCTTGCAAGTGTTAGGGCCCGAGTTCGATCCCCGGTACCAAAAAATAAAAAAAGACAACAGAAATCTGTGACCAAAAAAGTCTAAAATATTTACCAACTGGCCCCTTACAGAAAAAGTCTGATGTCCTCTGTAAATATAATGGGTTAAATCTTAGTTAAATTAATTCTCCCTCATTTATTTTTGTAACAGCTGCCTGGACTTACAGACTATATTTCATTTGTTTGTTTGTTTGGTACCGGGAATTGAACTCAGGTCCTTGCGCTTGCAAGGCAGGCCACCGAACCACTGAGCTAAATCCCCGGCCCTACAGACTATATTTCATACTTTATTTAATCACTCTTTACTGATGGATATTTTCTTCCACACTTTTGCTGTTATAAATAAAGCTGCACTAGTCTCTTTGTATATGCTTGTGGGTGATTATGAAGGTCAAATTCTTGGAAATGGGATTGCTGGATTAAAGAGCATACTTTTAAATTCTAATACTCATATACTTGAGAAATGACAAATAATTGCTTACACTCAAAGGAAAGTAACCATCTACAGTAGTCCAAATTTCCCAACTTCTCTATTTCAAACATTATGCATATTTTGTAAAATCTACCTTTTATGAGCATTTAATGTATATCAAACACTATGTTTAGCACCTTTTATGCACTGTGTTAATGGGGGGTTGAGACAAGGTCTCACTTTTTTTTTTTTTTTTTTTTTTTTTTTTTTTGAGACAGGGTCTCACTATGTAGTTCAGACTACCCTGGAACTCACTACATAGCCCACGCTGGTCTTAAACTCACAGAGATCCTCCTGCCTCAGCCTCCTGAGTGCTGGGATTACAGGCAGGTGCCACCATGCCCAGCAAGGTCTCACTTCATAGTCCAGGCTGGCCTCCTAAGTGCTAGGCTTAAAGGCATGTGCCACCATGGCCAGCTTATTTACTTATTATAACAACAACCTTAAACTGGGGTGTTGGCACACACTTGGAATTCCAGTACTCAGGAGACTGAGGCAGGAAGGTTGCAGGCTAGCCTGGGCTGTATAGCAAGATCCTGTCTCAAAAGCCCAAAAACAAACAAAAAAATCCTATAAGACACATATTAATTAATACTTGCCATTTTGCTGGTGGGTGTGGCAGCACACACTTATAGTCCCAGCATTCTGGGAGGCTGAGGCAGGAAAATCACAAGGCTGATCCCCAGCTAGGCACCTTAGTGACTTAACAAGACCTTTGTCTTAAAAAATAAAATGTAAACAGAGTTGTGGATGTAGCTTAGTGCAAAGATTCTGGGTTCAAAAAAAATAAGACAGCTGGATGTGGTGATGCACACCTGTAATAGTACTCAGGAGGCTGAGGCAGGAGGATTGCCACAAGTTGGAGACCAGCCTGAACTACAGAATGAGACTCTGTCTTTAAAAAAAAAAAAAAAAAAAGATTAAAACTGGGCCAGGGATTTATTTAGCTCAGTGGCACCGTAACTGCCTTGCAAGCACAAGTTCTTGAGTTCGATCCCAGTACCAAAAAAAAAAAGATAAAACTTACCATTTTGAGCTGGGCATGATGGTGCACACCTGTAATCCCAGCACTTGGGAGGCTGAGGCAGGAGGATCACTGTGAGTTTGAGACCAGCCTGGGCTACACAGTGAGTTCCTCCAGGTCAGTCTCACTACATAGTGAGACCCTGCCTCAAAAAAACTTACCATTTTGCAAATAGGAAAACTGAGTCTTAAGGAAATTATTGTCCAAATTTATATCATCTAAAAATTGACACAAGCCAAATATTTAAACTTTGTCTAAGTGCAAAATCAGGTTCTTAACCATGATGCTATTCTACCCACCCTAGTAAATAAGGTATCCTGATTTTTGTTTTAGAAAATATGTTCACCATAATAATTATAGGTAAAGGCCAGCCTGAACTAAGGCCTTATCTCAAAAAAAAAAAAAAAAAAAAATCGATCAATAAAATAAAAGAGGAGACTCTAAAATAATAGTCACCAGTCCCACTAGTTGCCAGAGATACTGTGCTTTGGGAAAGGGTGTGGAAGAGGGTTAGAAATATACTAAATGTCTGGGAAGTGGGTCACAGTCTCTGACCTCCTAGGCTAGCCTCAGGTGCTCTGAACTGGTACATCCTCTGCGTCTACCAGGCTGGGATGAGGTCTTGTTGCTAAGAACTCTCAAGGACAAGAGAAAAGCCCTCACACTAGGTTAATGATTTTCACTGTGTGACTTCATCCCTCACAGTATGCAGCTGATCCCCAGGACAAGCACTGGCTGGCCGAGAATCACCACATGCGGGCAACAGGGGGAAAGATGGTAAGTAAGCATCATGTTCCAGTACCACTGCCAAAGACCCATCCAGCCCAGGGGCCAACAGATGTGGAAAGGGAAGCTTAGAAAACTCACTCCTTCATGCTAAAGAGTAGACTGTAATCCCTGCTCCCTGTCACTAGGGCTGCCTCTACCGCCTCATTCTCTAATCACATTTCTCCAAACCCTCATGTCTAGATACATTACCTGTGCCTAGGGGTGTGGTTATAAGACATACTTAGTAGGGTTTTCTTTCGTGTGTCCATGGATAGATTTTACTTCTTTATCATAACACCCTTTCTCCAGACACAGCTTTAGAATCTTTTCTCACCTTAGTTCTCCCGGCATTGCCCCTTGTCAACAGGAGTTAGCACCCACAGTGAAATGTTTGCCACATCTAACAGCCTCTTCCAGACTCACCTCCACTTCAGAAATTCTCAGCTCATATCAAACACCAACCTTAGGAAAAATCATTATTGTACATTTACTAAAACTGCTGTAAGGGCTTTGCCCATCACAGTTATCTGAGCAGGTTATCATGACTTTCTACGATAGCCTACAGTGTGTTTCCGACACCTACACGCACTTTTATCTTGGCTGTTATCCTATTTACTCAGACCAAGCTCCCCCTGCAGAGCCAGTTTCTCTCCTACTCTTTCTTGCTTTCTTGAGTAAACTCTGCCACTGCAAATAATAATAATAATAATAAACTCTAGGCCCCTCTCCAGGATACTAACTGTTAATTCAGAGTGCCCATAAGATGGGGAAAAAATTACTCAAAAGACACACAACTTTTCCTAACCCTAAGACTAGGACTCTTAGAGAAGACTTTCTGATAGGATGTGCATCCCCTACATGGCACGCTTACCAAGCCTCACCACTGCAGACAACCATCTGTCAGCAGCTGTATAGGCCCAGGGTTACACAGCATCACAGACCACTTACTAGACAGCAGTGTGTTTATCATATCCTTTTGCTGGAAATCGCAAGACCAAGTTTTCTTAATCCCCAGTTAGGATATAACTTCCTCTTCCTGATTTACTATTCCCATGTATATTTTGCTAGCTCTCTTACTATTTTATTATAAACCTCTTCTATTCGTTTTTTAAAAGAGAAAAGGCCGGGCTGGGGATTTAGCTCAGTGATTCTGCCGCCTGCCTCGCAAGCGGAACTCAAGGATCCGAGTTCAATCCCTGGTACCCAAAAAGAAAAAAGAGAAAAGGCCATAAACAAGTCACCACAGCATGCCCATGGAGTTCCAGCTACCCCAAGACTCAGGCATACAGATGACTTGAACCCAAAAGTTCAGGGCCAGCCTGGGCAACATGGCTAGACCCCAATCTCAAAAAAGTCACAAATCCTCTCTCTCTTGCTGATAAAGTTTGTTTGAGTGAAAGATTTTCTCAAAGAACCATTCCCCAGTCTCTCCCCGCTTTCCCCTATTAAATTACAAACTGTACCCCCCCTTTCCTCCACCTAGTAGCAGGCATTTAAGCAGATGCTTAATAAAGGATTATTGAGTTGGAGTGAAATGAAGCAGGCAGTTACCATTCTCCCTTGTTCCTGCCCCAGGCCTACCTCCTCATAGAGGAAGACATCCGCGACCTTGCTGCCAGCGACGACTACAGGTAAACCATTGGTGGTCTGATCTCTACAGCTCCTGAGGTGAGGCTGGGCCTACATCCTGCCTGCCTTTAACTTCTCAATATCTACTCTAGAGGATGCCTGGACCTGAAGTTAGATGAGCTGAAATCCTTTGTCCTGCCCTCTTGGATGGTTGAGAAGATGCGAAAGTACATGGAGACACTAAGGACAGAGAATGACCATCATGCTGTTGAAGCACCTGTGCAGACCTGAGGCCAGGTCCTTGGCTACAGATAGCAGCCAGCATCCATGACCCTCTTCCCCACATGCTGAGGCTGCCGCTGGGACTACTCCTAGATGGATTTCCGCAGCATTAAACTGCCCAGCTAGTTTGTAGGGATGCACTGCAGAGCACCCCAGACTGGCATGTGGGTCTACATTTGTAAAGTTACTAGGCTAAGAAGCAATTAAACTGTTTGTAATAAACACAGATGGTGAGCCTGCTATGCCATCTGCCGTGTAGGGGGCTGATAAAATGTCAAGGGTTCTAGAAACGGGTGTAGAAAAAGGCCCAGGTACCCCTTCCGGGTCTCTGACCTAGGCTTTAGGAGACCTAGCTACTAATACCATGTACTTTGGTTGGTTGGTTGGTTTTGTTGTTGTTTGTTTTTTTGTTTGTTGGGGGGGGGTTGGTTTTTTGAAACAGGGACTCACTGTGTAGTTGAGACTGACCTGAAACTCCCTCTGTAGCCCAGTCTGGTCTCGAACTCAAAGATCCTCCTGCCTCTGCTCCTGAGTGCTGGGATTACAGGCGTGCACCACCCAGCTTGCCAACCTCCTTGTCCCTTTTCCTAGGGTTTTTTGGGGGGTTTCTGTTTGTTTTTCTACCAATGCAAGGACTGGCAGAATATGTTGGCTAGTCCCATGGAGGTTTGGCTAACAGACTATTAAAAAATGCAGCGTTGGCTTTTATTATCATTTTACATGTTAAAATATCGACCTGCTCGATGTCACACAACAAACCAGTCCGAGAGGAGGCACAGTCTGAACCTACATTTTCTGACAGGGGGTCTGCTGCTCTAACCTTCAGCCTCTCTATCTCTAGTCTTATCCCCCACCCCCCAGGGTATTGTTATAGGGGGAGGAGCCGGGGCTTCCGGTTTGGGAGACGGTGTCAGGGCCGGAGGACTGGAGATAGTCCCTTTTCCTGGAAGAAAGGATCGGGGTCGGGCGCGTTACACGGGTAGTACAGGCGTTTGATTTTAAGGGATTTATCCCACGTGGCCGTTTTCTTAGCCTTTTAATGGTCGGGGTTTTCCAGAGGTCGTCAATTTGCTACAGGCTCGTTAGTGGCAGCCTCTTTGGCCAATTGGCTGTTAGAAGCAAGTCTCCACGTTGCCCAATAGCGGTGCTGATGGGTGCGGTTCGCAGTTGCGCAGTGAAATAGCGCGTCGGCCCACCGCATTGGCTGGATTAAACCCAAGCGACCTGCTGATTGGTCAACACTGTCGGAGGGTTACAATTCAAACGCAGGCGGGCGGCCCCCAGCCTCGCAGTTAAGTCCTGTTCTCGGAGTTCCTGTCTGCTGGCACCTCTCGGATGGCCTCCCAAAACCGCGACCCCGCCGCCACCAGCGTCGCTGCCGCCCGTAAAGGAGCCGAGCCCAGCGGGGGCGCTGCCCGGGGTCCAGTGGGAAAGAGGTAAGTGGCACGGAGCTAACACTGGCCGAGGCTGGGGAACCACGGCGAAAACTTCTGGTATTCTCACCTCGTGGTTCTGGTGAGAAATGGGAGATGGGACTAGCGGGTGGAAGGGAGGCAGAAGCTGAGGCTACTCTTTGAGACTCTTAAAGGAAGACTGCCGTCAGGATCCTCCCAGAAGACGCCCGAGGAGCGTGGGGCGTTAAGACACGCCCGAGTCAGGGCAAGGCTCGGGAATTAGGAAGGGTGAAAACTCGTTAGGGTTCTCCTCTGGAGATGAGCATTACCTAACCCCCAGCAGACTCTGACCTCAGAAAGGGGAAGCCTTTATGACAACTCCTCAGGAGAGAGCTTCCGACCCATCCAGATTCCTGGGTAACGCTAAATTATTTTTGCAGGCTACAGCAGGAGCTGATGACCCTCATGGTGAGTGACTGAGTGCTCTCAAATCCCCAGTCAGCTGGCCCACCCTCCTACCCAGTGATCAGTAGCCCCCTTTCCTCCATAAGCCCCTGCTTAGAGACAAAGGTCAGTATCATCTACTGTCTTCTGAGAAGTCTTTCATACTCTCACTCTCACCTGCACCTTTTCTTGTAGCAGTCGCTATCCCAGTTCTGTCCCCAACAGTGAAGTGGTTCCCTGAAGTTTCACATCCTGCTTGTCCTTACTTTCTGGTCTCAGGCTTCACCCATGCCCAATCCCACACCCTTTTTGGTATTCTAATCCTGTCATGCCTTGGAATTCTCCCTTTCTAGTTGTTCTTTGCTACATTAACCCTAAATATTCAATTCAGATTTTTTAAAATATATTTCAAGAATTGAGCTGGGTGTGGTGGCACACGCCTATAATGGGAGGCTGAGGCAGGAGGATTTCTGTGAGTTCGAGACCAGCCTGGGCTACATAGTGAGTTCCAGGTCAGTCTCAACGACATAGTGAGACCCTGTCTCAAAAAAACCAAAAAAAAAAGAGAATTGAATATGCTTATTCCTGGCAACCAAGAAGCTTGTGGATGCACAGTTGCCTTCTGTTTCCCTGTACAGCCCCTCCTTCCTTAGCCTGGTTATGAACCTGTCAGTTGGGTCTGCTTGCACATTGGATAAGCTTGTGATGAAATCAGGGGCAGAGACTACACACTGACCCTTTGCTATCTCCTAAAATATACTCCGCAATCCAGCAAGTACTGTTTCCTCCTCAGATGTCTGGTGACAAAGGAATTTCTGCCTTCCCTGAATCAGACAACCTTTTCAAATGGGTAGGGACGATCCACGGAGCAGCTGGCACAGTAAGTATAGGGTCAGAGAGGACGTGAGAGGTGAGATCCAAGTACCAGTGCTGCTTTAGTCCATTAGCTGCCCAAGACAATCCCCCTGTGCCTGTTCACACACTCTAAACCTTGTGGTCTTGTCCTCTCCTGTACAATAAAAAGGTGTAAAACCCTGTCTAGCTAATCATGGCTCCTGCTGTAGCCTGCAAAAATGCTTGTAATCCTAGCATTCTGGGAGGTTGAGGCAGGAAGATCACGAATTCAAGCCAATCCTGGATAACTTTGCAAAACCTTGTCTCAAAATTGTAAAAGGACCAGGGGTTTCAATCCCTAGTACCTGGCAGCCGGGTGTGGTATACCACATACCTGTAAACCTAGTACTTGGGAGGTTGAGGCAGGAGACTTGCCATGAGTTTAAGGCCAGCCTGGCCTCTATAGGGAGTTCAAGGCAAGCTTGGACTACATAGCAAGACCCCGTCTCAAACAAAAATGAAAAAATCCCTAGTAGCTCGAAAAATAAGCCCTATCTAAGGGGCCAGACCACAATTAAGTAAATGGAGTGTGGACTTATGCTATTGGGAGGGCCCACTGCTACAAGTCTGTCAGAAATTCACCTCCGTGTCAAATTTTTTCATGTTGATAACTAAAATACTAATTAGGCCCGGCATGGTGGTACATGCCTGTAATCCCAGCGCTCAGGAAGCCGAGGCAGGAGGACCACCCTGGGCTACATAGTAAGTTCAAGGCCAGCCTGAACTACCCTGTCTCAAAAAAATAGTAAAACTAATAGACTAAAGCACAGCTGTGGTAGCCCTCAGGATACCAATTTACACCCCTTAAAGGGTCTTTGTTGTCCCCGCCAAATAAGGGGAAAGCACCAGAAACAGCTTAGTATTTTGTTCACTGTCCTTTCCCATATAAAAACCTCAAAAGATCCTACACGGCAAGCCCCTTATGTGGGTCTTGGGTTGGAATATGAGTCCCACATTGGGAAATTTAGTCCCTGCCTCTCTCCCAATGCCAGGTATATGAAGACCTGAGGTATAAGCTCTCCCTGGAGTTCCCCAGTGGCTACCCTTACAACGCACCCACGGTGAAGTTCCTCACTCCCTGCTACCACCCCAATGTGGATACCCAGGGTAACATCTGCCTGGACATCCTCAAGGACAAGTGGTCTGCCTTGTATGACGTCAGGACCATACTGCTATCCATCCAGAGCCTGCTAGGAGGTGACTTTTGAGACCACTCAAAAGTGGGGACTGTTGGGACTTCCCTGGGCCAGCCTCTTCTACCCTTTGACCATTTGTCTCTCCACCCACAGAACCCAACATCGATAGTCCTTTGAACACACATGCTGCAGAGCTCTGGAAAAACCCCACAGGTAGGTCCTTGGCAGCCTTCAGAGGTGCCCTCCACCAAGAGTGTCCTGGTGACTTGGGACTGGGTTGAGCTAAGGGAAGGGGGTGGCCGACCCATTCCGCCTCTGCTCTGGTGCTTTCCTGTGCTACAAACAGTGGGATCTCTGCATGGTCACCATTGGGAGGAGGCTGTCGGTTACTTCACCTGTGCCCTCTGCTCCACAAACTGGCAGACCCACGGGCTGGGCTGCCTTACCCCACCCCTCCCCACCTTCGCATCCCTGATCAATCTCCCCTCTTCTCTTGGCCACCTTCACTGATTCCTGTCTCATCACCCAATGCCTGCCTGTTCTCTTTAGCTTTTAAGAAGTACCTGCAAGAAACCTACTCAAAGCAAGTATCCAGCCAAGATCCCTGACGCAGGCTGTCAGCCTGTCCTTGTGGTGTCTTTATTTCTTCTTCAGTCTGTCCTTTCCTTGATTTCTGTGTTGGACACTGTATTTTGAGCTGTGGTGTTGTTCTTGTTTTGTTTGTTTTTTAAATTAAGTCTGTGGTTGAGCCTTTGCAATGTATATTAAATAAACACATTTTGGTTGCTTTTTGTACACGGTTTCTGTCTTGCGGTTAACCCTTGGTTTGGCAGTGCGGGTGCGGCGTGACATCTGGGCTCTTGCCTGATCTCTATAATGGTGAAAGCAGCCGATTGATATGCTGTGGGGCCAAGCAGTTAGGTAACTGGGATATATTCCTTTGTAGCCTTATTTTATCATTCTGTAAATTGGGGGAGTGTGGCTCTGTGGTAGAATGCAGAGTCCCCAGCAACAACACTACAAAGCTTGTTTCTGCATGCACCAGGAATTTTAGTGAAGGCTGCAGCAGCCCCAGCTGTGCTACAGATGAGACTGAACCAGACGATAGAGTTAAGAGTATCTGGGAGGGAGTAGAGGGCCAGCCACCCACTTTGTGACAAATCGTAGGGCCCTTCGGTTGCCTTAACAGCAGGCCCAGAGTGTGGGGAGACAACCAGAGAAAGCCTATTTCCTGTCAGAACCCTCAGGACTGAGGCCCAGACCTGCCTCTGAACCGAGGTCCCCATGTATGGCTCCACCCTCCAAGGGGGCACATTCACTTCCTGTTCCATCTCTGACTGCAGCTCTGCCAGCCACTGCACCCACTTGCCCAGTTCCCCTGCCCCCATCCTGCCCTACGCTCCAGCCTTTGGCCCCCGAGAAGACACTCCTGTGCAGACCAGCTGGGTCCCTGCCACAGACTTGGAAGAGCTGGCAGAGGTGATGGGCCCAACCCAGGTCCTGTAGAAAGATCTCCAGGGTGGACAAAAACAGCACCCAAGTGTGCTCCAGCACTGCCTGGGTTTCTGCCTTGGCACCCCTGGGTCAGCTCTGCCAGCAGCTGGTTGTGCAGGCCTGAGGAAGAGGGAAGGAAGGCAGGAAGACCTGTAACGAAGGTTCACTCATGGTCCCCTTTATTCCTGCTACCCCAAGTCTCTCTCCTTTGCCCTGTGCCCCCATCAAGTAGCCAGGTGTAAAGAACTGTAGGATTGTAGGATTAAGCCAAGGATTGGAATTTGGATGTCCTCATATATAAAATTTGGGGGTTAGGTTTTAGGGCTGGGGATTTAGCTCAGCAGCACCACACCTGCCTGGCAGTTATAGGTCCTGAGTTTGATTTCCATTACCAAAAAAACTATCCCTTTAATTTTTCTTTCTCACTTGGACAAACACCTTGTAAGTTAATCTAATGTTGAAAGGTTTAGCCAGGTGTAGTGGTGCATTCCCCGTAATCCCAGCACTTTGGGAGGCTGAGGCAAGAGGATAAATCCCAGCCTAGTATGGGCAATTTAGTAACTGAGACCCTGTCCCAAAATAAAACATAAAAGGGTTGAGAGTGTAGCTCAGTATGAAGGCCCTGGGTTCAATCCCCATTACTGAAAAAAAAGAGAAAGGCAGCTTTCTTTGCCTTTCTAGTCAGCTTCTCAATGACATGTTACTGTTGTGGTCTAGTTAGAAAACAAGGTATGAAACCAGATATGATGGCACACACTCAGGAGGCTGACACAGGAGGATCACCATGAGTTGGAGGCCAGCCTTGGCTACAGAATGAGTTCAGTGTCATCCTAAACATAATGAGACTGTCTAAAAAAAAAAAAGTGGGCCAGGGATTTAGCTCAGTGGTTCCAGCACCTGCCTCACAAGAGCAAGGACCCAAGTTCAATCCCTGGTACCAAAAAAAAAAAAATGTGTGGGCCTTCCTGTAGCAAAACCATCACCTGGACCTTGTTAGAAGGGTAAATCCTTGGCCCCGACATGGTACCAGGTTCTGATCCTCTCTCAAGTTTGAAAATCACTGGGTGAGAGGATGCCTGAGGAAAGCAGCGCTCAAAACCTTGTGCTAAATTTTTGTGTTTTTTAAGCTAGCGTCTCACTATATAGTTTAGGCTGGCCTGGAACTCACTATGTAGCCCAGGCTGGCCTCAAACTTAGTGGTTTTCCTGCCTCAACCTCCTGAGTCTTGGGATTACAGGTGTGTACCACCATACCTCCATAAATTGGTTTCATGTAAATGCTGAGGTGGGGTTATTTTTGTCTGCCACTGGGAAGCCTCTACATGTGGTCCTTGATCATAGTGTTTCATTCCCTAGCCCATCTTGTGTCAGTCACAGGAATTCAACCAATCACTGTTCTCTGGAATTAATCACTGAGAGAGAGTAAAGCTGCTTTACTAACGAAGTTAATATCAGAGGAAGGAAGGAGTCAATCTAGATTGCTGGTGGAGACAGGTATAGTAGGAAGAAAAACAAACAGAGCAAAGTAGCTGCAAGCTGGAGAGAGGCTCTGGGTTCCGAGTCTTATCTTGGCACCCAGTTCTATTAACCAACAAGGCCGGTTTTGGCTTAGGGCTGGGGATTTAGCTCAGTGGTTTCGCCGCCTACCTTGCAAGCGCAAGGACCCAAGTTTGATCCCCAATACCAAAAATAAATAAATAAAATATTTTTGGCTTAAGTCTGTTAGGGTTAGATTTCTGAGACTTGCAAGAAAAAAGAACTCTAGTACAGGAGATAACTATAAACTGTATTCTCTAATGCAATAAGGTTTGAGAAAGCACCTTTCAAAGCAGACATGGTGGTCCGAGTTAAAACACTACAGGCATGGAGGGGTGGGATAAAATGGTCTGGAGATAAAAAGCAGCAAGGAGAGTGAGTGCTAACGGGGACAGTGAGTGCCAGGTTGAGTCCTATTTTCAAGAAACCATCACAGAGACTCAGAACAGAGGAGGACAAGAGAGATTCATCCATTTAGGGCAGGGCCAGTTTGCAGTGCTCAGGACATCCAGGTAAAACATCTACCTTTGGGCTGGGGATTTAGTTCATTGGCACTGCACCTGCCTTGCAGGTGCAAGGTCCTGAGTCTGATCCCTGGTACCAAAAATAAATAAAACATCTACCTTTTAATAGGTAGATAGTATCACAGCTGGGATCCCTAATCTGGCTCCTACCACCACAGAGCAGTATTACCTGTGTGCCTCACTTCACCTTATCAGGCCTTAGCGTCCTCAACTGTAAAGTGGGGCTAACATCTGCTTCTGGGGTGTTGTGTGGATGAGTGAGCCAATCATGTCTCTTAAGGCAAAGACACATAACTACTAAACCCCAGCACCATTTCTAGTTTAAAATTCAAGCTGAGAAATGTCTGAATGAGGGGATAAAAGGAGGTTGGGGGTAGGAGAACGGGACAAGAACTATTTCCACAGGCAGCGGAGGCAGAGATCAAGGTAGGAGATGGTATCTGACAGAAGCCTTGTCTGTTGACGAAATTGACAGGCTAATAAGAAGGGGAAGAAAATTCCAGGGAGTGAGTATAGCATATACAAAGGCCCAAGGGACAGTAAGGGAAGGCTGTGGCAATAAATACAGTAAGTGTAGAGTACAGAGTTTCAAGAATAATGATAGGCTGGGGATTTAGCTCAGTGGTTCTACCTCACAAGCACAAG